GCTAATATTCTTTAAATGTCTAGATATATTTTTATTACATTTTAGGTAATATTGATTGATTATGTTATTTTAAAGGAATGTGAATATTATATCATAACTTTGAAGATTATACATAATAAAGCTTTTAAACAAATGTTTTTAAAGTACATTAAACCATATGATAAAAAATATCTCTTCAAATTTTTATAATGATTATTTTACTTATTTACAAATATCTATGATGTATGTTACATAATACCTCTAAGCACGTACATTGTACATCACAGAAATTTTATATTAAAATAAATATCATTAAAATAGTATAATATTTATTGATATTTATTCATTAATATAGTATAATATGTTCGTTTATTGCATAAAATTGTTTTCTATTATCGTTATACGTTTTTGCACGTTTTTTTCGTGAAAAAATCAATTTTTTATTGATTATTTTATCATAGATAAAATGTTAAATTTTTATTTTTTACATTAAACACAAAACGAATATTTTAATTATTACTTATTTAATTATATTATATGTAATTGACCTAAACATGTATAATAAACGATAGAAAATTGTTATTTATCAAATAATACGTTCGTAATAAATTAATGCCCTTATACTACATCATATAATTAAAGAACGCAATTACAGAAAATAATGTACATTCAAAAAATTTCTTTGCAATCTTTTCAAATATTTTAATTTAATTTCATATTTTAACCATACTTATAACTATAATAAACCATTTAACATAGAGAATTGACACTTTACTTAAAAATATTTCATGTAAATTTTATTAGAATTGGTGTATTAAGATATATATATTAATTAATCACGCCACTTGAATATTACATCTACGTAGAAAATTATACAATGAATTTATAAATAAGTGTTGTTATAAAAGTAAACGTATATATCTTTTCTCCATCGTCTTTGCAATAGAAATAAATGTTCCTAGTTTTTATAATTACACATATTATACAGAGATTTTTAATGCTATAAAAATCAAGCGTATTTATGAATTTAAAAGCAAATCTAGAAATATAATTATTGAATTATTGATTTTCTTACATTTGTTAATCTGGTTATATCATGCTATCAGTAACATTTTTTGCAATAGATTTATATACGTTACGATAAAGCACGATATATAGAAGCATAAAATATCGATGATTATATAAAAAAACATATATTAGAAATAATTTATTGATCGATAATATCTTTATTTCAATTTCATTCATATATACATATATATATATATATATATATATATTAATTAATTTAAAAATTTAATTCAGGATATTTTTTAATAATAAGTATAGGTTTGTTTATTAATGTTATTATGAATATTGGAAATCATGCAAAATTGTATAAAATTATTTTATGAACCAACTTTTTTACGATATTTAAAATTAAAATTTTTACAATAATATTATCTGTTTTTTTATATTTTTACGTTCTTTAACTATTGAAATCATAGAAGTAATATATAATTTTATTAAAAATTCTCGAAAATCTGATATTTCTATGGATAATACAATGAACTATGTTAAGTATAAATGTTTATAAAATCTACTTTATAAGTACTTTTTTTTTTTTTATCAATTACATTTACAATGATAATTACAGTACAATTGTTAATAAAATATTAATAGTTACTTTTGTAATATAACAAATTTATTTTAGTTTTAAACAAAATTTGATGCTTCTCTAAATTTAATATTAATAATATTTAATACTAATAGTAAAATAAATATCTATGATCTTTTAAAAGTAAGATATTTCTTAGAATATAAGTTACATCGTTACGAAGTAATGTACCGTTAAAAGCGATTTTAACGTTAAGATAAAATTTGCAAACATCCTGTCTATAACATTGACAGATGGCATTTTAGATAAATTAAAATAAAATATATTTTATAAACTATAAAATACTGAGAAAGACTGAAATATCGTTGATGCGATCCTTTGTCTATTGCTTCTTATATAGTAATATTAATGTGAAGAGAATATATATATATATATATATATATATACATTTTGCCTTCCAAGGTCAATCATTCGTACATGGAAATAATAATAAAATACATATGTTATTCAAAGTAACAACTGTAAAAATATTGGAACAATTATATTCTTATATTATTAAGTAATGATAAAAGAAATTTTTATTTCACTACTATTTTATAGAACAATCAATTCAATTGATACTAATATATTATTATTTTCTTAAATGTAATTAGTACAATTTAAATTCACTTATGATTCAGATCTTTTATAAATTCATTTTTAATTTTCATATATATTATTTGAACACTTAATTATTTATTACATCTTGAAGTATATTTCAATGTCTGTATACGAATTAATGTTCTCTTAATTAGATTTGTATTGTAAATATAAAAATTTGTTTGATTACTTTAGATATACGAATATTTATTAATTTTTGCTTGTCACATATATGCATGTGTGTATCAATATTAAATGAATTTCACACTATCTGACGGTATTTTTATTATTATCGAACCACTTTAAGTGAAGTAAATATAAAATTTTATGTTCCCACACAATTATAATGGACAGGCAAAATATAATTAATGTATATTCTTATACTTGGCTAGATAAATTTAGTTTTATTTGGAGTATTTTTCATGATTAAAAAAATGTGTTGAAAAACTTTTTATAATAAAATTGCATAATATATTTCAAAACTACACTATTTAATTATTACAACATTGCATCATTGTATTAATATTGCATGTGCTTTTCATATAATATATTAAATTAGTTGAAAAGATTAATTAAAAATTGTTTATCAAGTGCGAATATAGGAATAGTATTAGTAACAGTTAATTAATATTTTTAGCAAAAGCATTTATTTTCATATTGTTATCTCCGGAAGAAATAAACAAACTGAAGTCTATAAATATCCTTAAATTTTAAATATTCAGCTACGATAAAAACAAATGGTAAAAAATGTAAATATATAGTTTATAAAATATTCTGTTGAAGTAATAATCAAGAGTAATATATTCTATTGGTAGTTGATATATAAATATTGTTATGTAAAAGGTAAATTGGTTGATATTTCATAAGAAACTAATTTTGACATAAATCGAATTTATATTGTGTTTTTGTATTATTCATTATTCTAGTTCATAAAATGATCTTATAATTCATGAAGTTAAACGTATTAGGAATTAAGAGTTTCAAAGCAAATACATAAATTATCATCGTTTGGTAAATAATCTGATATTATCACTTTTATATCAACAAACTTTCAATTATCAATTATGTTGCAGTTATATGCATATGGTAAATAAGTTTTACGAACGTATTTAAATTTTTTATATAGAATATTCACGAATAGAGTATTGAATCTTTATAATATTTGATCTATTGTCAGATTTTTACTCTATTTTAAATTTGCCAATTGAACGTACAATTTTAACGTAGAATTTTTTTAATAATAATAAATTAAGTAGTTCTTTATTATGTTGTTAATAATTTTATAATATTTGATATATACGAGAAATTTTTTATATTAAAAAGATTCTAAATATACATTTATATTAAGCACAATAAAGAAATCTGAAATTTCTAAAAAAAAAAAAATGTGTTTCAATCTAAAATTTTTCAGTTTTTAAATTCAATTTGCAAATACAATTTTTTATTTAATTTTCGAAGATTATCCGATAAAATGACTTTTTATTCGGTTCGATTTAATCATCTATCAATTTCTTCCTTCTTCTTTCCTTCGAAACTTCTCTGTTAATATTTATAAAATCGAATTGATATTGAATTCAAGAGTCTTTTCAATTCTCGTTATAATTTATAAATTTTCACTTTAAATTATTGTATTTGACGTTAGGTAACGTTCATTCATTACCTTAGTATAACATTCCAGAAGTTTACCCATAATTATATTATTTATTTGTAGTAATTATGAAATAGAATACTTAATACTGCAAATGACTTTAAAGCGTAGTTTTGAGACTTGAGCTAATTACAAAAACGAATGAAAATTTACAATAAATAAAAACATTATGAATCGTTGTCCTTCAGTACTTATCTAATGGATTGATATTATTTTAATGAGTTGTATCATTGTATCAATGTATTAAAAAAATTATCAATAATTTATTTATTATTTAATAATGATTTAAATTAAGTATAAATGCATCTATTCGTATTATAGAATCGAAGGTAACTCATTAAGTAATTAATAAAATATTTTTTTAGTTGTTTTTATAAATTTTCATTGAAATTTTATAAGAACTCATATTCACAGTTTTTACATTAACTTAACATTTGACTCATATTTTTATTTACAAACATTCACAATATTAATATTATTTGTTTTATAAAGTATAATTTATAATTGAACATTATCGATTCCATATAAATTTAAAACTATTTGCCATTACGTATGTTCTTGTTTATAAGTTTTCATCAAGAATATATCGGCACTAAACGACATATCTTGAGAATTTTTTTTTTTTTTTTTTTTTTTTTTTTTGGTTTTTTATTGTTTTTATTATTAATCTATACATTAAATTAGAAATTAGAAATATTATTTAGAAAGTACAATAAAAATAATTTAATTTTCGTATCATTTTTCAATTCATTTGTTATAAACGTGAAATTATTTTACTAAGATTTAATACAATAATTTGCTTAAATAATTATTATATCAGCTTTTTTTTTTTTTAAGATGTGCCATTCGTATATTTTATTATTAATAATTTTTAAATAAATTACAACGCGATTAGATTAAAAATGTAATTAAACATGAATGCCGTTAGAATTTAAATATATGATTATTTTATTTCTTTATTTATTTATTTATTTTTTTTATTTTATTTATTTTTTTTTTTTTTTTGCAATTCGTAGAAATCGAAAGAAGTAAAGGAGCTAGGGAATAAAAATTATGACGTTGTTTCACCCCAAGTGCAAATAATATGCACTCGTAGTAAAGCAGAAAGTATTTTCAATGAAAAACGTGTTATTTTAATTTAATTTAAGAACTAAAAACAATCGAGAGCTGTTGAGCGGCTGGCTTATCGTGAGTGAATTCAGATGGAGGGCAACGAAAGGCAATATTGTGTGATGTGAGGATGACAGGCCTTCCGGTCTAAGTATGAATGAGGAAACGGAAGTGCCTTGGTCATCAGGATTGATTCGCAGTTACTCCCAGCATGCAACCGTCGTCCTTCAACACTTTCAACAACACCGTTCGCATCCTGAATCCGTGAAATACTCTCGTTCCAGCTGTGAGTTACGCAACAAGCAAGAGACATTGACCAATTCGAATATAGACCACGAGAATGAATTAAACAATTATGATTACCAATCCTGGTACGCTAAAGTTTCTTTTATCGATCGTTCTGCATAATAGACGATTTTATTAAATAGGCTTAAATCTTCTTCTTGCTGATATTTTCTTTTTATTCTCAACTAATATGAAACTGTCTATATATATATATATATATATATATATATAAAATTTATTTTCCATTTACTATATCATATTTTATCACAAAAATGTCTTTTAAGCGTGCGGCGAGAGTGTGCATTTTACTATATATCCAATTGAATAGCAAGTTGATCTTCTGATTATATATTTTTATATATAAAGTGAAAAAAAGGTATATTGTATATATAATATGTCGGATATAATTTTTAATTTATATTTAAAATGAGAATAAGAGGTTATCGTTTAGATTTAAAACACATTTAAAAAAAAAAAAACTCAATTGTTCTTAATCTTATAAAATTGTTTATATATAAATTTATATATATATATATATATATATATTATATATTATTATATATAATAATATAAATTTATATAAATTTATATAAATATTATATATATATATATATATATAATTTATATATAAAATCTTATAAAATTCTTAATCTTAAATAATTTAAAATCTTCATTATCATCGGGCTTATTATTTTTATCTATCCAACATTTGCTCAGTTTTCAATTCAATTTAATCATCAATTTAAAATACTTTTATTTCATAAACATAATTATAAAAATAAAAGAAAATCTATATGCATTCACATTTATATTGAAATGGTATTTTAAATGATATAATTGTTAAGTAGTTAAGGCATTAATGGGCGATAATTAGCTAATTAATAAACACTGACATAACAAATAAATACAAATTCATGATATATATCTTGCACGTGCTTATGCAACACTTCCACTGCATACAAAATACATAACAAATGGTTAAGTACATAATACCTAATATGATTGATAAGTTCTATTGCAGTCATCGCTCGTAGTAATGTCAAGTATTGATTCGCAGGCGATTATCAAACTCGTTATCGGAGGACGAGAAGGAGCTGTATAATCGTCAGAATCGTGAAATTACCCAAATTGGATTCGGTGACTCGAGCGGGTTGACGAGCCAATTTTCGGAAATCAGCCTGGAGCAACGGAATTTGGAAGATGCGAATGGATTCCAGCGGATTTCTGGCTTCGAAAGTACTTCGTTACCCTCCACGAGCCAAATCGTTTCGTCGTCCACCGAGACTGGACAAATTTTGTCGAACGATGACAGCGACTATCAATTATTGGATGAGCGGTAATGTTAATAAATAAACTTGTCAATTCAACAACAGACTCTTTATCGTTTATATCGCGCGTTATGCATGCGAGTGCTCAGTCGTAAAGAAAGCACACTTATAGGCTAAATTTTCATGGACTGATTGATCGTCTTGCCGACATGCGCATAGAAAAAGTCGCTACTTATATACTTTTGATACTTCGGTCTAACCATTAATTAATTGTTGATCTATGTCTTTGATAATGATTAAATAGCTACGATGTTAATTGTTCGAAATAAGTTTATCGCTCACGATGATCCAATATTTGCACGTCTTAGGCGCTTCGATTCGTAAAGCAGTCAGATTAGCTTTTAATTAGAGCGAGAGGGAAGGTCGTAAAGCTCGGTGTGGCCCAATTAATTGATGTACTACCTCAAGCGCTGTTCGATTGCTGAATCAAGCGAGTCGCATAAATAAAATACACGAGATCGTGATTTTAAGTATTAGGCAATGGAGGAGAGATTCAGAGACATTCAACTTGCGAGCTTTTTTTTCAGATCGGGACGTAAGAGCCCCACGGGCACGACGATGGTGCGGGCCTACAGCAGCTCAAACTCCCTGGCAGGAACCGCGGGTCGGCAGCGGCTCGGCGGTGTTCCAATTATTCGGCAGATCTCCTACGAGAACTGGACGCGCGACAAGCAGCGCCAGTTGCAGCGGCGCCGGGACGAGACCAGACGGATGGAGCTTAAGCGGGCGGAGGCGGAGGACCGCGAGAGGCAGGAACAGAAGACCAAGCAGCGTCAGGAGTACCAGCGCTTCCTCGACTGGCTCAAGCGAAAGAAACACGAGAAACTCCTGAGACGAGAACTCGTCGAGAAGGAGCTCGAGCTCGAGAGGCAGCTACACGAGGTCGAGCGGAAGGCTCAGATATCCAAAAACATCGGACTCATGCAGTGGCACAAGAAGAAGGAGAAGCAGATGAAAGGTCGCGCCTCGTATAAAACGACCGTTCCATTAGGTTTAGCGTTTGGTAGTTCAATGCATGAAATTGGGGAGGAGAGCATTTCGTATTTTCCCGTCTAACAATTAGCTCGGCGCCTCGGCACTCTTTTTCCTTGAAATATATCGTCACCTATTCGGACAGATTCTTTTTCAATTGTTAATATTCTGTAAATATACTTTTAAAAAATATAGACAATTGTAAAATGAAGGAGATAGAGAGATAGAGAGATAGAGAGATAGAGAGAGAGATAGAGAGAGAGAGAGAGAGAGAGAGAGAGAGAGTGAGAGAGTGAGAGAGAGAGAGAGAGAGAGAGAAGGAGTACTCTATCCGTAAATTAATGGTTAATCGAATCCTTGAGTAGTCCTAATTTAAGTAATCTATAAATCCTAAACTTAGCTTCCATTCTCGATGCAAAGCGGAATTTATTTGTAAATAAGCTTACATTAAAAAACGAAACTAGAAACATTGATTAATAAATAGATATTTGATTGGATACGTATGTTATCATTATATATGAAATTTAAGAGAATAAAATTACAATCGCTTAGAATTGATCGGACAGAGAAAGGATTGAGGAAAATTATTAACAAGTACGCTAATTTAAAATTACCTCCATTAATAAAATACTATCTTTACTTTTACATCAAATAGTTAATATCTATTTAACAAAATTAAAATTTATAATCTTTCATCTGTAAACATTGCATTATTAATGCTTTGAAATGTAGCCACGGAGAAGGAAGAATTAATGAAGCAAAGAAAAGCTAAAGAAGAGAAGGAAAGGAGGCTGGAGGAGAGTTTAAAGGCTTATGAAAAATGGCGTCAAAAGTCAAAAAATGTACCAAAACCAGCTACACAAGGACTTTTACGTTTGTTTTACATTATAAGTTTATTCATTGTATAAAGAACAGAAAGCGTCCATATGTATAATAATTATTAGAATGTTTTTATCATCTATTTCATGCATAGTTTTGACAAATATCCGTATATTGTATTTCTTTTTATTAAGTCATAATGTATAAGATATTGAAACTAAAAATAAATTATTTTAAATAGCTAGATAATCAGTTTAATATTTTCTTAATAAATAAAAAATGCAGTCGTAACTTTGTATTTCGGTAAATTAAAATACGTATATTCAATTATGTTATTTGCATCGTTGATTGAGGTGTTTTTCTAGCCTATTTTAATCTCAAAATGCTTTAAACTCGGATAATATTTATATTTTTTTTATAATTTATTCAAATTATTATATCTTACATATCCATGTATATTTCTCAAACGAATTTCAATTAAATTTTCTTTAAAATTAAAATTTAACTTTGAATTAATACACTTACAGCCATTATTTATTAAATGAAAGGGTTTTTTTTTGTTTTTTTTTTTTTGACAATAATTCTAGAGATTAATTAATAAAATAATGAATTTAAATTAAAATTTTGTAAATTTATGATACAAAACAGCCTAAAAATTTTCCCCGTTCTCAATCATCTACTACTAAAGCTTGTTTAATACATGTGAGTTTATTATTTTCAGCTCATCAAAAAGCTAAACCAGCCTTCACTAATCCAACTCCATGGAAATCACTCATAGATAATGCGAGCGACGATTCTGATTCCTCGACTCCAATGAAAACAACCAACTGGGCTGTTAAAAATCCACGAAGTAAAAGGACTTACGTTAAAAGATAAAAATAAACGAATAGGAATGAAAATAGAAGCATCGTTGTTTGAACAAAAAAAAAACAAAAAAAAAAAAAAAATACAAAATGTTAATGTAATTTAATGTTTTATTTTTAATCGACGTAGGAGTTTTATCGCACGTACGTACATTTATATAAACTATTCGATCGGACCTTTGCTACGTGGTCGTATTTATTAGAATATGTTTTTGTATTAATATTAATTAATTTTATTTATTTTTTTTCTCTAGTAAACTTCTCAACCATCCACTCGTTACTTTTTCTCTCTATTTCTTCATTTATTCGTCGATTCTTCTTCATCTTGAAGTTGCTTGATATCTGTGTTGTCCATGAAGTAATAAGATGGCTGTCGTAATCGCTGTAAATTATAAAAATTTCCAATTAATAAAGTCCTTACAATCAAGATATAATTATTTTTAATAACTTTTGAATTAAATAGATACTTTAATATTCCAATGCATAAATCATTTATAATTTCATAAAAATATCTGTTTCATTTAACTGCTCCAAAGTGAATTATATGCATAAAAATGAGATAGAAAATTCCTTCATTTCTCCGACATTAAATGTAAGAGGAAATAAGTTATTAATATAAAGTTTATTAATTAAAAAAAAAAAAAAAAAAAAAAAAAAAAAAAAAAAATCAGTTTTTCACTGTCTATATATATATATATCACAATTAACAATAGAAATAGAAATTGTTTTTATTAAAATTTAATTTCTCACGCAATAATTTTTATTTATTCATTCATAAGAATACAATTATATTAAACTAGTGAGAGCCTTGCAAAAGATTACGGTAATAAAATCTACTTTTCAGATTTAAAATTTCTAATTTAATTGCCGCGACATCGAATGAAAAATTTATGCTAATTCGATTTATTTAAATATTTAAACATTTAAAGTTTGATGCTTTTAGAATTTGGAGCTCCTGTTTTTCCATCAATAGTGTCTCGAAACTGGACTAAATGATATAACTTAAAATGGTTAGTAATTTTTTAGTTTAGTTAATAAAGTTATTGTGTAATATATATATATATATATATACTAATAAAAAAGTTAATAAAATTGTTGTGAAGCATGCGCGTGTGCTAAATTAAACCGCGTTAGGTATCTCAATATATTTATTTATGCGTAATGCAAAAATGTCTATTTATATTTTGACGTCTAATTTGTAAAGTTAATTTATAAACAAAAGTCATTATCCTATTAGGGTGACTTTTATTTGACATTACTATCACAGTGCCAATTATTCTACGTTAAACATATATTTTTGAAATTTTTTATATATCAAAAATACAATAACCGGTAACATTCAAATCTTAAGGGCATTATTTATTACAAATCTATACAATATTAAAATACCATAAATATTCATACAAATATATTATTATCAATAGTATTTCAATATTAATTACAAATTTGTTTAAAAATAATTATTTAGCCTGAGTAGCTAACTTACTAAATCTTTTTGCACTCGTTTTGCACCTGCTTGTATCAGTATACTGCTCATTTCTTCTACCGAAGGTACTCCCATTGCATAATGTAACGCTGTTCTTTCTAACTGAAAAGTATAATTGCAACATTAAGATTATAAAATTAATACATTATGTAATAGTAATGACGTCAATAGTCCGAGTGTTGGGTACAAATTTTTCTCGAACAAGTGAATTTCTCTTATCTGCTATCGAATTAGATTATATTATAAAATTAGTAATTTTATAAAAATTAGTCGAGCCCACAGACACACTCAAATGGAATCCATTAATAAAGCATTATTGTCACGATCCAAAAAGGATTTAAAAATTATGGTTTGCTCACATTATCGCCAAGACACAAAGTCTCCGGATACGTATTGGCGATGTACTGGACAATCTCCGGGTATTCACGAAGCACGGCGATATGCAATGCGCAACGACCGGTTGCATTCTTTCCGAGGACGAGAAGCCGCGCGCCTTCTCCGTTTACCTCCAGGAGTTGTCGAACCTTAACCGGGTCACCCGACCTTATGGCACTATGAATGCCATCCCTTAATTTCTGCAAACATGAATAACGTGCAATTTCAATTTATTTGCGAATGCCTGCCCTTCGCAGATAGTGTTATATAAGCAATTTGCCGCGATGTATTGCTAATGTAATATTGGATAGAATATTAAGAGATTTAAAAATGTTAATAATTGTGGCACTCCACTCGATTACTGTATCGATAAAAATCAATAGAATTTATATCTAACATTTCCCTTTACATACAATCATTCTAGAATCAATCATTTTTATTAAAGCCATAAGTAGTCTTATTTTATTTACAATTTTTTTTTTTTTTCTTAATTCCTTACATGACGTTTTGCATTTAATTTCTACGTTACTTTGCCTTGAATTTAACTATTAATTATTATATTTATTGGCACGTTAAATATCCTTTTACATTATTAAAAGCATTCAGTTGTGAAGCATCTAGTCACATAATTGTATGATTTAACGGATATTTATTATGAGTAAGTTCTAAACGATAAAAAAATACCATAAAATTGGATATTGATTTGAGAAATTCAACGGTCGACTTATTTTTCTCATCGTCTGCTATTCGAAGAATATTTTTACCGTCATCTTGAGTGTCCAAAATATGATCGTATCCTTCCATCAACAATTCAACTAATTTATCCGTTTCACCTGCAAAGCCAAATATTTTTAACGATACAATTAAGCCTAATGATATTTAAATGAAATGAAAAGTAATGAACGGAAAAGATTAGAAGATATTAAATCACTTACAGTTGAAACGAGCATTTTTAACACTGAAACGAACATTATTGAATACATACCTCGTGCTGCGAGATAAACAACAAATCGATCGATTCCTCGTACGTTATCGCGATTTCCTTTCAATTCCGCAACATCTCTGCCCGTTCTATATTCAGTATCTCGAAATGCAATGTTAATTTGTTTCTCTTGCAAAAGATGATACAGTCCATCTTTTGAATGTGAACGACTTGCTGCAACGTGCAGTAAAGTTTGTCCGTCTTCATCCTAGTCGTAAAAAAAAAAAAACGTATATACAATTCGATATAAATATATCTGTAAATGAAGAATTTTTATTAAAAAAAAAAAACGTATGTACAATTCGATATAAATATATCTGTAAATGAAGAATTTTTATTAAAAAAAAAAAACGTATGTACAATTCGATATAAATATATCTGTAAATGAAGAATTTTTATTAAAAAAAAAAAAAAAAAAAAAAAAAAAAAAAAACTAGTATAAAAACTTTTCATACCATAAATTTAGTTGAATTAGAAAACATCATGACATTTATTGCTATCAATATTATTATATAACAGTAGAATGATAATAAAATTTTAACCTAATAATCAAATTATTGTTTGAATAGTAAATATTAATTAGATTAATTGCACAAAAAAAAAAAAAAAAAAAAAAAACTAAAGTTAAAGCTATTGCCGTTTAAAAATATTTAAAAATTTTTATATATGTATTGTAAATTAGCATCTTATGTTTTCAGACTCTTTAGCTTTATTCTCTTAAATTCTAAATAAATACAAGTGCGTTAAGATTAAGATAAAAACAAACAAAAGGGAAGATAACAAGGAGGTAGAAAAATTTCCGTGTCTACTAAAAGTACTTATAAAATTAGACGTAAAATCTAATTGTTAATTGGACATAGATGATAGAGAACCAATGGAAATATTTAAGTTCTTAAATTTATAAATCATATTAATCAAACACACACATACTATATTAATAAATATTTAGGGATTTCATTTGATTTCAACTGAATTTCTTTATTTTTGAGGAATAATTAGCTTTATTATTATAAAATAAAAGCTAACGTCCTACCCTCTCTACTTCTGTAAAAAACGTGTATGGTATGTCTAAGTCTGGACTCTGAGGATATCCGTCATCGTTGTCATCGTTAGTTCGGCTTTCTTGATTAGCTTCATCATTCTTTTCATTCTCTGAAACTGTTAAGCCGCTCGAATTCTATGGAAATAAATTTAAAGGTAAAATTATTATATTCGCAAATTAAAATAGTCGAGAGTCAGAAAATAATATCATTTTCTCAGAATATCTCAGAATAAGTAAAAATATTATTAAGATTATAAATCAAAATGTAGTGTGATATTTTAAATTACCTCTTTCTTATCCTTTCCATTGTCCTTATTGGCAAAGTTATACAGATAACTCGCAAGAAATGTAATAGGATCTTTTGGTCGAGAAGTTGCTATTTCTGTTAAACCTTTTATTAATGGATCGCCGAGTGCTGAAAAATGCAAGTAACATATGAAAATAATTTTGTCGTAGCAAAATAAAATAAGAATATTTTCGTTTCATAATACATTTGTATAGCATATGAAAAGCAAAATTTTTAATTAAGTACACTCTCGTTGGATGCCTTGATCATAAACAAAAAACAAAAACAAAAAACAAAAACAAAACAAAACAAAAAAACAAAAAATCCTTACAATACATGTTTCAAATAAATATTTACAAACTAAAATCTAGAATAAAAGATATTTAGCTTGGAAGTATTAGTACATAAAGCAAATGGATATTATTATACATTATAATTTTTATTGCCTTAATGCTTTACCGATTCAATTTATTATTTTCATATTGATAAGTAAATCTGTTTGCAAATTGTTAAAAATTTAATAACTTAAGATTGATCTTATCAATATTTAATGAACTTATTGTGTTATTAAAAATTTTAAATGAAATTGTTATTTATGCTACTTACATGACGCTAGATAACGTCCCTCTTCGTCTTGAAAGATTTTCAGCTCTGTAAATACGACAATTATGGTATAAATACGTGTAGACACTACAATTATTAAGCGTATAATAGTCGTTAAATTATTTTTTTTTTTATAATACAGTACGTTCATAAGAAATTATTAAGTGCATATATACAAAGTGCTGCATTAAAAATAAATATGGCAAGCTAAATTCAGAACAATGAACAGAGAAAAATTATAAAAACCCAAAGGATTATAAAGGCGTATTAATGTGTAGTCAGTGAATCAACTATATTTACATAAATCATAATAAAATATTGCAAACGAAATATATAAGTAAATGAAAATACATAGAAGAAATAACACGAGGCTGCTTTTATTTTTATGAAAGAAATTTACGTTGTTTAGCATTACAGAAAATTCACACTGAAAAGCGATTATTAATATAATGAAGCCCGCGAGAGTTCGATTTTATTTATTTAAGGGAAATCAATACGTACGCGTGCTTGTTTAGACACGTACAATGCTTAAACATCAATTTAAACATTATGTTGACAAGAGAATACATCCTCAAAATATAATCAAAGTGAGACTTCTGCGTAACTGATTTACATAATGCAATGCAAATGTTAAATATTATTATGACACAACTCGTAACAGATAATTTTATATTAGAAATTACACATTCACTGGAGTAAAAACATCAAGTTGGAAAGACATGTGCTATGACACATTTATTGATCAGTGTTAATTAGTTCGGTGCGACATAAAATAAGAAAGACGTCGATAATTTGTCGCCACTCTATTCCATTGCATTGCAAGAAAATCCATTTTAAGATTAAAATCCATTTGTTATTTATTTTACTAGCAATATGTATCCACCAATAAACATTAATAAACAATGATAATAGACGCTTTATTATTAAAAACTTGCTTACTATTAAAGTCGTTGCTTTAATAATATCTAAGTGTCAAATTTTATGTATAAACATTTACACGTTTGATATATTACTTTGTAATTTACTGTAAAAGTAAAAAAAAAAATTTCTTTTTAATAGATGTTTTTTGTTTTTGTTTTTTTTTTTTTTTTTTGAATACATAAAAAATTTTTTTAATTTTAATAACATTTTTTTTTTTTCTCTCTCTCTCTTATTAAGTAAATTAATGTTATCTTTTGAAATTGTATTAAAATATATTTTTTAATATTAAAACCAATATGCAATTGCATAAAAAAAAATTTTTTTTTATTTTTGTTTGAATATTTAAATTATGTATCTTAGTCGCTTTAACAAACTTTAATAAATTTGAAAAATCCGAGAATATATGTTATTAGTACGAATGTCGAATATGTGCTAATATTTTCTTTTTGAAATAATGTTTAATCGGCTTTGAAAATCATCGCTTTTATCTATCCTACATAAAATGGTATTTAATTATAAATAATCGAGTATTTAAATTAATTATTTGATTGAAAATTATTTTGACATTTTTTCTATATCGAAAAAATTATTAAAATGATTGGGATAAAGGAAAATTTTAATCGTACTTTTAATTAAGTAAGACCATTAAAATTATTCCAAATTTCAACGCACATTTTACACTTATTAATGTCGGAAAGTTAAAGTTTGTCATCTTGTTTAACATACATTTAGTTGTTGTATACTTTTATTTCAAATACTATTACCATAAAAGATTATTAATTTTAAAAGGCTCACCTATTAATATAAATATATATATATATATATATATATATATATATATATATAATAAAGTGTAAAAGAATTTTGTATATTAAAATTGGAAATTAGCTTTTGAAATTACTATCGTATAAATGGCGTCAAAGAATCGAGTCATTTTTACTTAATTATATCGAAAAAGAGAGAATCGAATTCGTTTTATATATTTACTAACCCAAAAATAAGGCTTTATAATCCATCTCGTGACATCCGAGCAGCTACGTGTACAATTTCCGAGAACGAATCTCATAAAATTTATGAGTTGATACATGCGTATGTCGTTCTCTCATTCTCCATTACACATCTTTCCAAATTGATGGACCTTCCTGATACTTATTTTTATACTTATTTTTAACGAAATAACGGTCGGAAGTTTACTAGTGTTTTACCTAAAATTGGACGAGACATGCGGCAAGTCAACTTTGTCGGATGACCGAACTCGCCGTCGTATTATAAAATATGTCATTTACTATTCATATAATAATGCTGCTTACAAGGAAGTAGTGTAATTATAATAAAAGTGTGAGCACCGATGAGAGAGTATCGATGAGTTATCTATCCTCTTCGGGGTGAAAAGATGCAGAGAGAAATTAATTTATGTGTATAAACGAAGATGAGCTATTGTGTCAGTCTTGCGAAATAGAGGACTAGGAGTGGCCGTAGCGGTGGCCGAAGCGACGGCAGCGGCGTCCTTGGGAGGATCAGGATCTGATAGCCCTCGGACCCGACAGGCGTCGCCTCTTGAAGATTTTGGCAATGACCGCGGCGATCTTGAACGAGCTCGTAAGCGCCATCTCTTTCTCGAGCGTCAAGACATTGACGACCGCCCTATCGAAGTCCTGATAAGTCTGGAGCTCGTCGACCGAAAGGCTCTGCTGATTACCCAGGCGCACCGTGTCCGTGCGTAACGTAGGCTGAATCCTCAAGCCCCGTACGACACACAGGTGCTTGAGATCCTCGGGTCTTTGCGCGAGGCCGGCCAGTTTCACGACTACCTCGAAGCGCACGGTATTGCCGATGGCGCATGGTCGTGAGGTCAGGAAGCCCAGCTTGGGATCCCGCCTCCACTCGAACATTCCGTCGAGGGCGGTGACGACCTCGGCCAGCCTCGAGTACGCCTTACCCAACTGGCCGGGCTTGTTCTCGCTGCTGCTGCAGATGACGCGCACGTGATCCTGCACGTTGACCCAGACGGCCAAATCCCCGGCTGAATTAACGTAAACGCCCCGTCCGTAGGGCCAGTGTTTGCCGTGCAACCGGCGCTCGTCGCTGTTCTCACTCTCGATCAGGGGAAATAGCAAACCCGAGGCTGCAGTGCGCGCCCGCACCTCGCTGAACGGATCAAGGAGCTCGCTCACGGTAAAGTACGTGCCGAAATCCTCTTGGCCCGAGTCCTCGGTGATAATGGCTTTCAGCTCGGGTCCCATGAGGGCGCTCGTCACGATCCGCTCGGTCTCTTCGAGTTCGCTAATCCTCATGGTCAGGGGAAGCTGGTGCTTGTCGAAGTTGCGCGTGCACTCGACGATCCCGGCCATGATGTAACGGCCCGAAGGGTCGAGATCGCGGCCCTCGAGGCCCGGCTTGTCGTTCGAGCCTGGTCGTTGCAGATCCACGTGGAAGAAGCGCGTCGGGGGTTGCATTGGTAGATCACCGGTCGCGGTCACGCAGTGCAAATTGCGAATGAGCGGCTCGAGCAGCTCCACGAAGACGACGTAGCTTTCAAAGTCGGGCGCCACGACGTTGCCCGTGAAGTCCTCGTCGTATGAGGATATCGACAATCTACACGTGCGGATAAGATTTTTCGTTTGCTCCCTTATTTACCTTTATTTTTATTGTGTTTTTCTTTATCAATTTTCCTTTTTATTGGTTTTCTTGGTTTAACGTCTGTCGCGCTGCTCGTTAGATAAGCCTACGTTGCGAGACCGATACGAGACATTGGGCGAGACATTTTCTACAAATTTTATTATTATAATTCCGTTGACATCGATTATTTCCTACATCTATTAAATTTTTTTAAATAATCTAATTTACAAAAAGTACATAATAGCTTTAAGTACTTTAAGTAAGACGGTGAAAAAAATATTTAACCCGATGCGTAATAATATGAAAAGAATAAGCTTACAACATTTTGACTGAGGTAGCGAATGATGCATTTAACTAGTGTTTAAATATTCAAAACTAAATGCAAATTTCATTAGAATTTCAATTACAGATTAATTAACAAAATAGAAAAATACGGTAAGAAATTTTATCAAACAATGTGAAATTATATCACAAAATTTCAAGACATTCTATCGACTTTCAATCAAATGAAAATGCATTTTTAGTCTATCGAAATCTCATCACTTTAATAAAATTAGTAATATTTATGATTTAAGAATACTAATAAACTTTAATGAGTTTTTAAATCTCTAATATACAAGATATACGAACTATTATTATCAAGAGGTTAGAAAAATGTTTCTCTCGTTTTAATTGATTTCGAATTTAAATAAGAATAGTCCATCGCAAGTAGTAATCCTCCATGCACTTGATGAAATCATTAGCGAGCAGAATTTAAAACGCGGTCGCACATATCTAACCCAACGAGCAGCCTTCGTTTAATCGTCCAAGATTACGGAGTTGAGATAGATAGA